AATGTACATTTGCCCTAACCAATGACCTATGATGACCTGTCGATGCATGAAATCAGTACTGCTATCCTCTCAGAGAAGGCTCGTAGCAGTTTGCCAACTGCAGGGGATGAAAGGCTTCGTGAGCTTGCGACGCTGGATCGAGAAAACGACCGTGTGCATTGCAGGGCACCTTATATACTGCACGGCGTACACTCCTGTTAAATAGCAATCATTAAAACAACACATAAGCATCTAAATCTTCTAGCATAACCTAATCAGTTTTTATCGCAATCAACCCATAAGGATTCAGTAGCAAATTCCATGAAAAATGCAGCACAGTAGTGAAAAATTTGTGCTGCTTTGAACAAATACTAGGGCGCGTGTGGCGTAGTGCTTGGTGGCACCGCTGTGACACACACGTGGAATCGATCCTCGCGCCCATGGTACACCAAGCCTTCCATCTTTCCGGGGTCCGCAAATTGGTACCAGACTTGTCTCAGAGGATAACAGCACTGGCTCGATACATCGGTAGGCCATCGCGAGTCATTGTAAAGGCCAGATATGCATTCAATCACCTTCAACGATAGTTAATGAAGTCGAATGCATGGCGCATCCCTCAGGGATTGATCAACACCGAGAGTTTTATCCTTTTTTTATCTTTTGAATAAATATTATATAATAGACTATTTTGAAGCTGTTAATTCCAATTTTTATAGAAAATCGTTTATCTGTGGCAGTTAATCAGCCTCGGTAATTCTATTGTCGGATTAAGTTGAAAATGGAACCATTAAGAAAAAAAGTAAAGTCATTGTGGTTGGTTTCATATGATACCCTGCCGTGGAAATAGTAGTAGGCAGTAAATAAAAAGATTAACATTGTGAAAAGAATAGTTATACAGTGGTTGCCGTCAAAAATACTGCGGTTATTGTCGTCTACCTATCAAGAAGGATGAAGAATAAAGCTTTCGGGCTCAATCAATCCCTGAGGGATGTGCCATGCATTCCACTTCATTAAGTATCGTAGGAGGTGATTGAATGCATATCTGGCCTTTATAATGGCTCGAGGCGGCCCATCGATGTATCAAGCCAGTGCTGCTATCCTCCCAGACAAGTCTGGTACCAATTTGCCTATCCCGGAGGGATGGAAGGTTTGGTGGGCCAGGGGGCGCGGGGATCGATCCCATGTGTGTGTTGCAGGGCGCCTCCGATCACTCCGATCAAAAAAGGTTTCTTCCCTTTTTGTTACTTTTAACAACTTTTTGATAACTAAATTGGTTGAGAAGATCAGGAGATTTAGTAGACTTATAGAGCAGAGCTGACCCTATTGTTTGAAGGATATATAGTATTCTTCTGGTATTATTTCCGACAATTTTTAAGAAAGTGAAGTTTTCAAAAATTTAAAATGTCTAAAACTTTCAACAGGGTGTGGATAGCACAGCAGTGGTGGTGGTGCCGTTCATTACGAGCACGGTGCTCGTCGATCTTGCTCTTGACTCACCAAGCCTCTCATTCCTTTGGATTAGAAACTTGATACTAGACTAGTCCAGGATTCTGCAATCGATCTGGAAACGCTCTAAACTGGCTAACTCAGAACTCCAGAAAGAATCGGCTTGACCAGCATTCTACGACGTTCAAGGTGAAATAGAAATCTACAAGCAGCAGCTGAACCCAGGCGTAAAAGTTGGAAGACCGTCGCGGATGATGGATGCGAGAAAAGAAATCGAATATGAGAAATTTTCGTGTCCACATGGCAGATGTGAGAGAAAGGTCATGTAAACATAGAAGGAAATCCCAACAAATGTCCAATTTAGGCGGGCGCGTCGACCATTCTCGCCAAGGTACGTTGCAGCACACTATCATATACTATTGGGCGGTATCCTCATTATTCAAAAGTTCTCTATGTGTACAAAAAAGGAAAAAATAAAATTTGCAAGAAGAAATCTGCTGCAAGAAATCGAGAATTTATTTTCTTTTTTAAATAACCTGTCGCCACATCTACCCTGCGGATCGCAGCACTTCTTGCATTCGCTTCGTTTTCCATGCGTCATTCATCGTCCACAGTGGCGTTCGAACATTTCGCGTGTTACTTCGGCTTTTTCTTAAAGATTTCATCTTCTTTATGAGTGTCATAGAATGCCGGTCAAGTCGATTCCACTTGCAGTCTTGGAGATAGCAGAGCTAAAGCGTTCCCACATGGATTGGAAGACAGCATTAGGGAGGGCTCGAACTAGCGCCTTTGTTTACTGATCATCGGCATCACTCTCAGCCTCACTCTATTTTCAACTGGTGACCTACTGTACCAAGTGGGCTTACCTATTTCTTTGTTTATTTACTTATTTATATGACCCATCAAGACCTATTATGCGCCTTCCAGCATTCTTTCATTCGGTTCATTGGCACTAGTCAACCACGAAGGTCTTAAAATTTGCGTGTGGATTCCACTGTTGCCTGAGGATTTAGTCTTGTTCATGAATGTCGTTGGATCGTTGTTCGGTTGATTGTTCATGTAATCATTGAAAAGCTCTTCCACGACATATCCAGTTCTTCATCGTAAGCATTCCTCAGCTGTCGTGAATCCAAGAAGGCTTTTTAAGAACAGGTTTAGTACAAATTTGTTTCCAACCACCGTTCCTTCCGCGGTAGCGTTTATTGATGCCATATTTTTTTTTACCAGTGCAGTTTTTTCTAGTAGTTCAAATTTGGGCTTAATTTTTTTTGAAAATACTGAAACATCTGAAACAGCTAAGTAGCTCGTATTAAAATGTAAATATTAGAATGCCTAAAAGGTGGGATGTCGGTGATTTAATATCAGTTATTCTATTATGATTACTACCATTACTTTCACTAATAGCGTTTTTCCTTTCTAATCATTTAGCCTTGTGCTTCTTCACTTCAGCTTATCTTTCATGCTATTTTGGTGAGAAATGTCATATCTTTATGTCTACTGTTATTACTGATAACGGTATCTATTGCTTATTTAATTTGATATTGTGCGGTGTTTCCCGACTAAACGCACTAACCTGAGAACTCTGAAAAGATGATTAAGGGATTTGCTTTCCTGAGGTTCCGAAATTTTTTTGTCAACACTTTCCAAATTATCGAAGAAGGTTTGCCTCTATGTAATGGAATTGTGTCTAGGATTCCCTGCGTTCGTTTCTTCTTATTTGTTCTTCTTGAAGGGTATGTCAAACATATCCGATTAAACCTACAACAGTAAATCTCGTTTGGTGGATTATGATTCAATAAAAAGAACACCCGCCAGTCGTTCACCTTTATCACCTGTATCACCTGTAGTTCCATTGATTGTCGAGCGACTCGAGCGGGTGCCAGTAAATCTCCCATTTTCCCCTGTTGCGTGCAAGAGTAGCCCGGTGGGTTCTGCTCACTCTAGGGACTCGTAGGGACTCGTCGAACATCATATCTTTTCTTAAAGCTCTTTGTGAAAAACTCTGACCATCGAGTCGGTGGTCTTCCTGCAGTGTGCAACATGCCGAGGAATCCAGTCACTAACGGCTCGTGTCCATCGGTTGTTATTCATACGCATTACGTCTCCGTCCCACCTTATCTTCGAATGTTTGGCGTACAGAACGGCATCTTTGATTTTTTACCGTTGACGCAGATCGGAGCTTCCGATCCCATCCCTTACTTGTGTGGAACGGGACACTCCTATCATCGTCCTTTCGACTGCGTGTTCGATAACGCTGTAGCCTTTCATCCTGCTTGCTCAGCGACCAGGTTTCTGACGCATACGTTAGGGCAGAAAGTACCGTTGAGTCGAAAAGGTGGGCACGGAGTCGGGTGTTCTTTGTCGTCTTCACTACATCCTGGATGCTCTCGAAAGCTCCCCAAACCGCTCGTTTCCTTATGCTCAGCTCTGGAGCTAAGTCGTTCATCACATTGATTTCCCGACATAGATAGATATAACGGGAGCATTCGGAGATATTCGTTCCGTTGAGTGTGATGGTGCATGCGAAACCAATCCGTTCTTCATGAACATCGTTTTTGTGAGATTTAGCCGAAGCCCAATCTTTCCACAGGCTTTATCAAAGTCCACAAGCATACGTTCCGCTTGGTTAATGTTTGGTGTTATAAGGACGATGTCATCAGCAAAGCGAAGATGGTGTAACTGCCGACCCTCGATTCTCACTCCCATATTGTCCCATTCCAATGTTCGCATGACGTTGTGGAGGGTGGTGGTAAATAATTTTGACGAGATGGTATCGCCTTGCCTAGTTCCTCTTTTAACGTCAATGTTAATAGTATCGTTGTAGAATGGTGATATCTTGATTGTGAAATTTTTGTACAGCTCACGAAGAGTCTTTATGTACTGAGTAGGGACTCCTTGACTATCAAGGGCTCCCAAGACTGCTTCTATCTCAACTGAACCAAAGGCCTTCTGTAATTTGATAAAAGTGAGACAGAGCGGTCTTTTGTACTCTCGCGATACTTCAATGAGCGGTGCTACCGTGTGGATGTGGTCCATCGTACTAAATCGTCTTCGAAACCCTGCTTGCTCACATGGCTCTCCTTCGCCTAGTGTTCTGTCAATCCTGTTTAGGATGACTTGAGTGAAAAGTTTGTAGACGACAGGCAGTAAGCAGATTGGGCGATAGTTGCCGATATCGTGCAGGTCACCCTTCTTGCCGTTCCCAGAATTTTTGAACTACTATTTTCAATACCTTTATTATTGTAAGTTGTTACTGTTGTTACTACTACTACTTTCCTCTTCAACGGCTTACTGCCTTGATCATACACAGGGGAAATGGTCATCTTCGTCCCTGAAGCACAAGAATGAAGCCCTCGTTCAAAAGATGCGATACTTTTGTGCTTTCGTGTCCTTTGAGAGAATAAGGTATCTTGTATAAATAAGAACTTCAGTTTTCCACTTAGATTGCTCGTCGACGGAGAGGATAACAAGAAAAAGAGATTATTGTCGCTATTAATTCGCTTCGTATAATATTTTTTCTTCGTTGATAACATTTTCACAACAATTTTTCAGTCTCGTACGGGTCCCTTTAGGAAATGAACTACAATCCAAATGTTCAAGACGATAATGTTTGGGTGACAGCTTCAAGCTTTACTATTTTTACTATGACAGCAGGTTCGTCCATCAACATAAAAAGATTTCCAAAACTGGTAAGTGATACGATACAATAGCAAGATTTGCTGTTTAGTAACTAAATATTAGTGACCGGTATGACGGTAAGACGGGAAACACGAAGGATGATATTACGTTCAATTCAAAATTGGGCTCGAATGTATTCCTTTGCATACTTACTTGGATGCTTGGCTTGGATGGCCCGACTTCACTGGTTGTCCTGACCCCAGCATAATTTCCATTCTCCGGAGATTTAATGGTTAAGCTATTATCGTTCCTGGATTTCCGAGGACAGCCTGGCCAAAGTCTGCCCCAGGTCATAACCATCACAGGCAGTCGTCGTCCTTGTGGATCAAAGGGAGATTTGCCACCATGCGACTAGTTTAATACCAGGTCGCTGATGGATCCTGGCATTGATTTATTCTTATTCAATCTTCCTAATATATACAGCGGACTCCTTCTTAGTCTAGGAGACCCTGCCTGGAGAATGAATCCTCCCGCTGTACATCGCAGCCCGACACCTAGAAACACTTCCCAGTCACAAGGCGGTGAAACATTAGGAGGATTCCTTTGCATAGTATTACGTTAATATTATTTCCAACTCTGCTTGTCTTTCCCGTTTTCTGACAGGAGTCTTTCCTTTATAAAAAAGAATAGATGAAAGTAAAAGCAGGTGTATTAATTCTTTGTAACGGTTTCTTCTACAGCAATGCTACATTCTTTCAGGATTCGGCTTATTAGAATCAGGACGGGTTTCTTCGAAGAACGAGGTAAACGTAATGATAAAAAACGTTGTCGACGTCATTTTTGGAGGTAAATTGCGTTTAACTTCCGTCTTATTGTCATGTTTGCCAGATTAAACATTGTAAAAGCAGAGATTACGGTAATAGACAACTAGTCATTTCTTTAAAGCCAAAGAGGCTCGTTGTAAAGCTTTTATAATCAGCTCGTTAGAGAGTATCTTCAAACAATTGGGAACGCTTTTTGTAAACATAGACAATTACCATACTTGAATATCCTTCTTGTGCAATTTTTCTCCAAGCATTTTCACCTCACTGATTACTGATTGATTAATTTAACTTGCTTTCACTGATTCCCTTTCCGTTGGTCGTCTTTTGACTTTAAATAACCAAATTGGAGTTTCGGTTAATTTCTGTCACAAAATATACCTGAACCTCACTTGATAAGCATTAAGGTCATCATTTTCTTCGAATAGATTTATGTGAAGAATTATGACTTTCGTGGAGGTTTTGTTCTTAATGGTGTTTAACGAAACCCATTATCCACTGGCTACTGTCGAAAAGGTATACTGGTTACGTATCCGTTCTCTAGATGTTCAACGAGTTTGAACCTGGTGCAGTGTTTCTGATTTTCCACGGTTGGAGTAGGTCTGAACTCAGAATTTCTTAGTTTATTTGCTTGAAAACATGTAATCGTAATATTTCCCATATAGCAGCACAATAAAGCTGATCACATTTTCGCTCTTCTAAAGCTAAATGAAATGGTTCCTAACGTTGCCTTCCGATCTCAAACGTACAAAGTTGGTACATCCGGTTAGTGGTATGAAGGCATCATAGTCTTCTCCTAACCCATGTTTAGCTAAAGAACGATCTTTCTGCATATGCGGTCAGAATCTGCCAAAAAAATCGTTCTCTATCACGCTGTCATAAGGGGCCCTAGCTATCGGCAAAGTAAATGCGGCTGAGCTTAACAATCTTGGCAAATATCAATTTCCTTTTCTACGGCTTTTCACTGTGATAGCGACGTTGAATTATAGAATTATGAAGGTTTGGTTGAGAAATTTGTGAAGAACTTGTTAAGAGTTTTCCAGTGTTCAGTGTACCCGGTCATTCCTTTCGTGTCACTATTCGCTATTCGTCAACTATTGGCAATCATTCCGTAACTAAAGCACCTTAGAATCCGTAGAATTAACGGCTTATAGGACTAAAATTCCACTGCGATTAAGCCTGAAAAAAACCATTATTTTCACATCGTATCCATTGCTAACAATGCACTCCATCTCAAATACACTAACCAACTCTTCCGTGGTCCTATGTATTCGAATTCCTTCTTCAAATCGGTGAACCTAAGTCATAATGGAAACTTACACTCTCGTTGTGCCTAAATCAAGTCAAGGTTTTAAGCACAAGTTGTCTTTTTCAGAGTTGCGCTTAATTTTTCAGTACTAAGTACTCGAAGTGGGTGCGTGTGGCACAGTGGTTGGAGGCGCCACTGCGACACACACGTGGAGTTGATCCCCGCGACCATTGTCCACCAAGCCTTCCCTCCCTCCGCGGTCGGCAAATTGGTACCAAACTTATCTGGGAGGATAGCAGCACTGGCTCGATACATCGGTAGGCCACCGCGAGTCATTGTAAAGGCCAGATATGCATTCAACCATCTCCAACGATACTTAATGAATTCGAATGCGCGGCGCATCCCTCAGGGACTGATCAACGTCGAGAGCTTTAGAGCTTTAGCTTTTGTGTACTCGAATTTTTATGAGACTACAACACACCATTTTAGAAAGCTACCAAACTTGTTCAAAAGCACCTCCTTTCCAAATTTTTTGATTCCATTACCGATTACGCTATTTACGATGAAAGCCTATATTGCTCCAACTTCATTGGCGGCAACTGAAAATTTTAAATGATTACGAGATATTTTTTAAGGATTAGCCTATTGGATGCTTGGGTATGGTTTCACATTTGGTCAGAAGTTAGCCAATCCTTTCATTGGCGTTGGTGATTACTTTTTTGACCCGGAACGAGAAGATGAGCTGTCCATAGAGGAGGTTAGCTCTCTCATAAAATCTTATTTCAGTATCAAAATTATGTTGGTTTTTCAGTGATAGTGAAATATTTCAATCCTTGTCGCTTTCAAAGAATCTCAATTATACCACTTCTATAACATAGCCAGCAATAGGTTATTAGAAAACTAAAAGTCCTGTAATACCATTGAATTAATGTAAGATAATATAGGATAATATAGCGATTTCCTCATAGAGCATTATACCAATGTTTTTAAAAACCCTCCAACATTTTTAACTTATTATTTACTGCTTACTCCTTTTAATGGCAGGGTATATTGCGAAATATAACTTAAAGAATGCTGAGATATTTGCAAAACTCCGGACCGCGGGTGTATGCAGTAAGGAACGAACCCGCTATTGTCCTTTCCGGAAAGTAGCGCGTTCACCACCACACCACGCCAGTCTTTCGTTTCGCCTGTCTCTCAGCCAGTTCTATCGATCTTTTGCCATCAGCAATCACCCGTCAGCGGGATTGATCTGGGGAGCTCAAATTGGCAACGAACCCAGTTAAGCTTAGGCCGCAGTATAGTCACAATTTTAACTTAATATTTACTGCCTACTGTTTTTAACGGCAGGGTATACATTGCGAAATACAACTTCAATGATGCTGAGATATTTGCAAAACTCCTGAATTTTTGAGAAATTACCACATTTTAGTAAGAACTCGGTGGCACGTGTAGCAACCTTGTTAGAGGTGCAGTGCAATTCAGACGTGGTCCTTGGTTTGGTACCACACTGCGGGCTCAACGGGTCTTCTATCCCTGCCTGGTTGCCCAATTTGTACCAGACATTTGCGAGAATCGCAGCCCTGATTTCATGCATCGGTGATCCACTGGAAGACCAAGAACTTCACCCTTTCTCCTTCTCATAGTAGAAACTACTCGCACAACCATGACAGTGTTGGAATGTTTACGAAGCAGCACACCACTAGCTCGCTCATTTATATTGATTAATTGGAAAAAGGAAAAATTATTTTAAAAAGCACATTTCAGCGTGGGACATCATATGCGCTTTTTTTGTTTCAAATGAGTTTTGCTACTACAACGTCGACCATCGTATCAGGTATTTATGACCTTAGCATTGCGTTTTTTGGTATTCTATTCATTATCACCACTTATTGATTTCTGAATGGGGACAGAGCAGTGGTGGTGATCCCGTTCGTTAGCCAGACGGTCCACCATCACAAGGCCCTGGTTCGACGCCGCCCTAAGCTACCCAAGCCTACAAGTCTGAGGCAACTTTCATCCATAAAATCCACGCGGGGACGCCCGCCCCCGTACGGCTATATCAGGAATCCAGCGAACGCCAACTCGACCAGTATTCAATAACTTTCGTGACAAACGTGAAAAAATACTCAAGCAGCAGTCGAAGCTACTTGCAACAGAATTCAAAAACCTTAGATGATCAGTGAGAAGAAACGAATGAATACAAGAAGTGCGGAAATTCATGCAGTGTGACACATATGATGTAGGGTGATGGTACTAAAAAAATAGGTTTTTAATGGAATAATTTGTGTAACAGGAACATGTATAGATGAGAAGGACTAATTTCAAAGAGTCAATTTAAAGGTCAAAAACCATTCCGTCGGAAATTAAGCGCGTCGGGATTACACCTAGATCAAAGCACATATATGTTTACATATTCGCATGAAGATATTTAACACTCGAAAAACAAAATGGTATATATGATGTGTTACAAAACTATTTATTATACCAAAAGAGCAGTACTTCGGGTATGACCACATAGCTATCGCTCCCCGATGGAATTTTCATCCGGAGGTCCGCATTGTACTGAACGAAAATCTCCTCATTGCTCTGTGCGTATTTGAAGTTAAGAAGCTTGCGATCGAAATTACTGAGAAATAGCTAACGGTTGGCGATTCCCGGCTTTACATTTTCTATGGTCCCTATAAAATCTTCGAGCAGAAATGGCCAAATCCGGCATAGCTATACGTGTGCAAGAGCCTTGCCCTTTTGGTGAAAAGTGCATCTGGCCCGGTCACCATGGGATCGTGACAATTATACGATATGAATTAGATGAGGTCGTTTGTCAACATGTTCTGTAAAATTGCATAAAGTTGTACGCAATTTTAATGGTGTATACTAGTAAGTTAAGGTTAACCCAACACTGGCTAACTCTAAAATGTCTTCTACTTCTAAATTAGATACAGACACTATTCCACGCGATGGTACTTAAATGCACTGAGCCTAACTTGCTTCAGAAAATGTGGGGAAAAAAATAAAATAGAAGCCAGAGAAGCAAATCCACTGGAGTATCAGCGATTAAAACGAAGATATAAAAATAAGATCTACAGTATATTTTTGAAACTTCTTTTTCTTAACGTTATACCTTTTTATTTTCTGCCTACTATCATTTCGCGGCAGCGTACTAAGCGAAATACAACCACTACGTTGCTGAGATATTTGCAAAACTCTGGACCGCAGGTGTCTATGGTGCGGAACGAACGCGCTATTGTCCTTTCCGGGGAGTAACGCGTTCACCACCACACCTTGCGGATCTGTCTCTCAGCTATTTCTATCGACACAGGCGAAACAAAGGACCCGCATGGTGTGGTGGTGAACGCGTTACTCCCCCGAAAGGACAATAGCGCGTTCGCTTCCCACCATAGACACCTGCGGTCCAGAGTTTTGCAAATATCTCAGCAACGTTGTGGCTGTACTTCTTTTTCTTATTTATTTATTTTATTTGATCCGTCTTTACGTCTACTGCATGGTTTCTAACACTTCTCAAATTCAATTCGATTCCTCGATCCGTCGCCCACGAAGATCTTCCAAGCTTTTAAGTGCGGCTTCGGTTACTGCTTGAGGATCTTTATTTCATTCTGAATGTCGTATAATGCTGGTCATGTCTACTCTCCCTGAAGTCTCGAGAGAGCAAGACTGGAGCGTTCCAAACTGGATTGCAGAGTGATTTTTTCCCAGACAAGACTGGTACCAATTTCTCGGCCTCGGAGGGATGAGAGGCTTGGTTGGCTCGGAGCGGAATCAAACTAAAACCTTGTTCGTGATGACAGACAGCTCTACCACTGTGTTATCCGCCCCATATATTTCCAATAAAAAGATATAAAAATAGAACCTACAGTAAGTTTCTTGAAACTGCTTTAGCAGTGACATTTCATTTGAAACCTGAGCATATGTAGCTATCATTTATACTATTTTTTATATAGTGTGGCAGACATGAACTATCGCGTTTACTTCTCATAGTTCATTTCCCTTAAATTTTCCTTAAAATCAGACAGAAACAAAGGAATAACGATACTAATTGATTGGATCCATCAGAAGTAGACACTTATATATTTTTTAACGACCATCCGTCAGAATTTTACAGTGAAAATCTACCTTTTTTTAGCCGGAATGGCTGAACGAATACATCTTCGTTCGCATTGCTTCGTGTCGTTCTTCATCACTCTTGTGCATTCAGTGGCTGGCCACTGGGTTTGGCATCGAAGCGGAGTCTTCAGGGCGATGGGTGTTGTCGATTCAGCCGGTTGTAGTGCGGTAAATAAATCGCCATTAGTGAAAAAAATCTCTGGTACTATGGAAAAAAAATTTTTTTACTCTGTTTGAACAAGAAATATAGCCGAGCATTTTATACAGTAATGAAATGACTTGTTATAACTATCATACAGTGAGTTACCGTTTGCACGTTTGCGATGACGCCCAATTTTTTGCCCAACTCGCTATGACGCCGATGGAGGTCATACCGGCCACAATGTCCCCTAATTTTGGAGCCTTACCCGATAAGACGGTAAAGCGTTGGAAAGAAAGTCATGATAACGACTGAAAATTGGAAAATAACTAATTGATTCTTAAAGAAGATGCTGCACGCTGCATGCGGTGTCAGTTCTTTGAGACTGAGGCATTTCTACACCTCTTTACTACTCGCGCTCTCTAGCAGCTTGTTCTCTTCAACAGCAATAGTCTTGCCGCAAAATGAGAAATTAGTGAGAAATTATTAAGAGGGTATTCTCCCATGGAAAAGCTGCTGTTGTGCAAATACATTCAGTAAATAAACCCCCGAAAAGGTAATAACCTCCATAGAGCTCATTTCGGCAACTGTGTTTCATTATAATTCACCTCCATAGAGGTCACGTCGTTGCGAATGTGTTAACGAAGACCAAGGGTGAAATTCCCTACTCATATTAATTTTCTGTCAGATTACCTGCTTTTTGTTCAGAAATGTTCTCTTAAAAGCCTTTGGGAACTGAAGGAACACGTACTGCCTAATTTGCTAAGATATTTTGTTTTTATTTTCTAGATTTTCACGATGATGCATTTTCTGCAAAGACGGCATATGAGGACTCTTTCTGGGAACTTGACTTTATTTTTAATTAAAATGTCGCAAAAAATTCGGTTTGCAAAACCTTTAAATCTTTTCTTTTATGAAAAAGAGTTATTGAAAAGATGAAAAAGATTTTCGAAACGTAACTGATTGTGCCCTTAAAAGCAGGCTTCTACTGCAATGACTGGAACAAAATCATGGGAAGAATGTCACTATTAGGAGCAATAGCTGTTTTCTTAAGTCTGCTTTAGGTCCATCTGGTTGGTGGAGTGTCCGGCTTAGTGGCGACGTTGTATTTGAAGCCGCGACAACACCGGTTCTACGATCGTCACGCTCAACAGATCAGCGATCCCACGAAGGCAATCCTAGTTGAGTGGTCATTTCAACGATAATCAACATGTGCAATCGACTAAAGCTAAGCATGTTCCACTCGAGAAATTTGCTAAATTTGAAAATGAGCCAGCAATAAACCAATGAAAATTTTTAAAGAGTTGAATCACATCGATAAGTTTTTATTTCGGTACGGTAATGGAGTTCGTTTTGAACAAGTAATTTGGAAAATCAATGACACTGAAAGACTGAAAAGGAAAATTTCTTTGTGAAGTGCAAAAATTTTTTGATCGACTACAATAATACTAAAGTTCTACCCGCTCGCGGAGTAGAATCAGCTAGAAGAAGATGTATCGCTGGGTTAAAATATCTGCGTATCAAGTTTACAAAATTCCCGAGAGCACTATGTAGCTAGTAGACAGAATTTTAAGTAACTTAGTATTAAGGGATTACATTTATTAGTACCTTGAATGCTTAATTTAGCGATGGTTGTAATTATAGTAATAGTCGCACGCGATTCATTTGGAACATAAATCCAGATTTTTGTGTTCTGTCGTTCTGTTGTAGAGCGCGCGCTCGGAAGCGCCCTGCAACACACGTGAAATCAATCCTTGTGCTCACGGCCCACCAAGCTTTTCATCCCTCCGGGGTCAAAAAATTGGTACCAGACTTACCTAGAAGGGTAGCCTCACTGGCTAGATACATCGGTAGGCCATCGTGAGTCATTGTAAAGGCCAGATATGCATTCAACCACCTCCAGTGTATCGAGCCAGTGATGCTATCCAACGATGCTTAGTGAAGTCGAATGCATGACGCATTCCTCAGGGACTGATTAACGCCGAGAGCTTTTTTTATTATTATATTATTATAGTCGTTATATTGTATTTTAAATGCCAATCGTTTGTCTCCAAACTTAATATTCAAAGAACAGAAGAGCTTTTTAAAAACTAAAACTACGAGAAACAGGCCATAAATCATGGTTCTGTTTCAGGATTTTTGATGATTTGGTGGGGTTGGTTAGCATTTAACACTGCTTCCAATTACGCTGTATCTCAGAAGCAATGGACTGAAGGGTCACGGTAGGCGCACTTGGTGCTTATTCTTTTGAATTGATTTATCGGTAAAGCAGTGTGATAATCTTCACAATGGTATGTAATAACTGTTAGCAATCGTTGTTTTACAAAACTTCCCTCTTCGAGACCTATGTCATGTTTCCTGTTGACCACATGAATCCTAACACATGATTCGCGACTGAACCTTTCGTTTACTGCCTTGACTGAGCAGCTGAAGAGTCAAAGAATATGTGCATCCAACGGTGCTCGTGTGGTTCACAGAGTGACGGGATTCCTTTGTAGCTACGAATTATCGGATAATTAGAGTTACTAAGTTTACTGAGGTAGTGTTTACTCCTAGCTGAATGGTTGATTTCCTCAAAGAATTGCTACATATCTTAGAAGCGATTTGCACTAAACCTCGACAACAATAAGCAATAAGTTTTTTGCATAACACAAATGTTACCGAGATGTAATGAAAGCCGGTCTTAAGATATTGCCACGCTAGGTGCCAGCAAGTGAAGGACTGCTACAGGACGCTTAGGTCGCCAAATTTGGTGATCGTACTGGACAGCGGGAATTGACCGACATTCGTCCCCTATAAAAGGGAACCTCCCGGTGATGCTCACCATTCGAGCGATGTTTCCACTCCACTATATTCGACTCGATGCGACAGCGAGCCACATAGGGAGAACGACCAGCTGCGGACTATGGACTTGATTCAACGCGGCTCTGAAAAAGGGGAAGGTGTCGAAACGTTAGCCGAATATAAGTGTCTTTAGAAAACTCGTGCTTGCTCAGTGACTGGTACATACGTTACTAACTGGTACATACGTTACTACTGATTCTGCCATCGCTGTAAACTGTCTGATACTCAAGAAAACCTTTTTGTAACCTAATCGTAAAAGATTAACTCATCGTGAATAGATTGAAACTCCCATAAAAACGCATAGCAAAGAGTAAAAAAATGTTTGAAAGGAGAAAAGAGAGAGAACCGTCCACATTCAATATGCTCAAAGAACAGCAGCAATTTAGATCAGCTGTAGGTACAATCATGGCTTCCGCCGGAGGAGGGATGGTTACTGTCCTAATTTCACGATGGACGACGAAAAAAATTCAAGTGGACATGCTCATCGATGGTTTGCTTGCGTCGCTGGTTTCGAGCACAGGTTATTGTTATATGTCATACAAATAAAATAAATTCTCCAGGTTCAAGAGCTTCGGCTATCAAAAATGTGACGGCCTAACCCACTTTTTTCGACACTGCAAAGTTAGGATGTACATTCTTGCTATTTAAGCCAGAAAATCCTATTATATGGCAGTTCGGCCAGTTCATTTTTGCAGCGCTGTTAGTCTTTGAACTCCCAATTTTCGTCTTTTTCATACTTTCGTACACCTTACGATTACAGCTGGCTGCCTTTTCTTCACTCCTTGGCAAGCTACGGTAGTTGGAGGCATTGGGTCGGCATTGGCTCTCTTCGTATATCCATTGTTGGAGAGAGCGAAGGTCCTTATCACACATTTGGAGAACTGATTAGTTTCTATTACATAAATTGCTAGTAGTTTCTAGAAAAGTTCCTAAATAATTTGTGTCCAGATTTGTTAACATCCGTTTCAGCTTCTTGATAAAGCTGTACCGAGATCTGCTTCCATCTTGGCTTCTTAAACTTTTAGCAAGATCTTTATAGACCAGTTTTTATACACTAGTATTTCCGAAACTAGGAATTCTTAAATAACAAACAAAGGTGCTCATTTTTGGAAACAGGCCCTGAAAAATGGACGAATTAACGGAAAAGGAAGAAAGATGGAAAAAATCTTTGTGGAAAGAGATAGAACCTCTAGCTCAAATTTTATTATCACGCGAACCTCATGGTTTGCCGTTGTTAGCTTTTACCGTCATTTTCTTTCATCCGCTTTGAAATATAACACTGAAGTCAGCATACTTTAGATCGGTGGTATTTTAACGCCTTCTACTTAACTAGAGTTCGTAGATCCCTAAAAACAGTCAATGCTCGTGAAATATGGTAGCAATACTATTTTTGGATTCAGAAAATTAGGCAGTATAACTGCGATTAGCCGGTTTACTTTCTGCAGACATCGCTCCTACAAGAGATCACCCTCCCAACGGTTTACCGCCTCATCGTGGCTGGGAGGTGTTCCTTGGCGTCGGACTGCGATGTACAGCGGTGGATTCATACCCTGGAAGGATCTTCCAAGCTGAGAAGAAGTACGGCGTTTCCATCAGCACGCCTAGTTAAGAGCAAACCAATACCAGGATCCACCGCCACCCTGGTATCAAAGTTGCATGGTGGCAAAATTCCATCTGATCCACAAAGACAATGACTGACTGTGGTGGTGATGACATGCGGCAGACTTTGGCCAGACTGACCTCGGCATTCGTAGGAACCACAATGGCTTAACCACCAAATCTCCGAGAGGTGGAGATTATGGTGGGAGCTGCACAACCAATGAGTGTGGGCCATCAAGTATCAAGTATCAAATAAGTAAGTAAGTTTAAGAGTATGGTTCCCTAAGATCGACTTTCTGTCAACCTCGGCAATGGATTATGAAGTATGGTTTCCTTTAAAAGTCAAAAATCTCCCCATTGATTTGCTAAGCAGATTTAAAATGAACACTGCTACTTTGTATTGAGTTTTACAAATTGTTTATAGTACGAATTTAGTAGAATGCACACCATTCAGATTGACGATCCTGTCGGAGTGGTGCCGGTGCATGTTGTCGGATCTGTGTGGGGTATGATCAGTCCGGCGATTTTTATCTGTCGCGAATTGAGTGCCAACGCAGACAAGGTTTTATTAAATATATCCCGAATATCCAAGGAATGTGGCTAAGTATTCTAAATCACTTGAATTCCATGCAAACGAGTCAATGGGAAATGAGAAAAAAAGTATGGAATACAAGACTCTAGTGTGAATAGACAATACCTTTCAAGACTTGTTAAACACTAAATCCTAGCAAATAGTAAAAAGGTAAAATAGATAGCCTAAATGATCTTATGCCATAAAATGAAGCAATTGGTTATTCGTTAGTGCAGTCAAACCGTACAAACCCCACAAAAGCAGTAAATAGTAAAGTCATTCACGTAAATAATATGGATAAACGAAGTGATTATTCTTAGTTGTTCCCCTTAATAAAACTAATATCAAAAGGAGCGCGTGTGGCGAAATGGTTGGAGCCGCCCTTCAATACACGTGGGGTCGAACTTTGCGCCCAAGCCCCATCAAGCCTTCCATTCCTTCGGGGTCGGCAAATTGGTACTAGACTTGTCTGAGAGGGTAGCGGCAGTGGTTCGATACATCGGTAGGCCACCGCGAGTCATTGTAAGGGCCAGAAATGCATTCAATCAGCTCCAATTATGCTTAATAAAGTCATATGCATGGTGCATCCTTTAGGGATTGATAAACACCAAAAGCTTTATCTTTTTATCTTTTAATAAGCTCAATATAATACAGTAATGAGTAACATTATTTTCTTTAAAATACGTTTACATTGTAGGTAACGAATACGCACGATCTGACCGGAATACTGTACGGTGGCGGTTTCACGCTGTTGCTTTATCAATTAGTAGCCCTAGGAACAATAGCTGCGTTTAGTGGGGTGTGTGCTTTCATTATTCTTTGGGTGAGTTCCTCTTTGTTTCGCTCTTTCATCCACATTTATGCTTAACACCTTTATTCGGCGTTACCTGCACTGTTCTGCTTACTCGGATTTCAAATGTAATGAAATACTGTAGGTTATTTCTGCAATCATGATATTCATACACGAGCTCTAAGAGGACATTTAATACTTCGCAAAAAAATATTGTTAGAAAAACGATATGTCTACGGTTTTCTCTTCGAGTATTACTATAGTAAGCAAATAACAAAATCTTTCTTCTTGATTCTTGAACGGCCCGTCATCACCAGTTGTGCGGGCTCCAGCATAATTACAATTTTCGAAGATTTGCTGGTTCAGCTATTGTGGTTCCCTGGAATCCCCAGGACCCCTGGCCAAACTGTGCTCCAGGTCGTCACCACGACAGGCACTCGCCGCCCTTGTGGATCAGAGAGAGATTACCACTATGCGACTTCGATACCAGGACGGTGGTGGATCGTGGTACTGGTTTACTCTTAGCTAGGCTTCCTAATGGAAACGCCGGATTCCTCAGCTTGGGAGACCCTGCGGAGGAGACGAATCCCCCCGCGATACATCGCAGTCCGACACCCAGGAACACCTCCCAGCCACGATGAGGCGGTAAACCGTTGGGAGAAATAACAAAATCAAGCTTACTAGAGTCGAAACCTAAGTCTACGTCTAGCATTTCTAAACCGCTACCACCAATATTACTCATAGCGCTTATAGCGGCTCATTGAACCTGTCTTAAAACCCAAATGAGGCAATTTAGTTTCTGTGGTTTTAACTATCCAGCAATGCTTCAGAGTTAAGCCATTCCTTGTTGCATTGCCGGATGGAAGCTAGTAGACTTAAGTCGACCCAAGTCGTTCATTGTTTCTTTAACGGTAGTGAAAGCTCGTAAAAGAAGAAAAGGAAGATAATGAACCCTTAAAGAAAACTACTAAAGGAAATTGACAAGTTTAACGCTCAATGGCACAATGACTGACAAGTCGTAGGCTTCAGCTGTGCGTGACCGTTTTGTCAATGTCTAACACGAAATTTCAGTTCTGCTCTCAAGCAGATTGTTTCCCTTGCTGCCATCTTGGTATTTCGCCAACCATCTACATTCCTTCGACGCAACGATATTGGACAGTCGTTTTTCTGCCATCCGTTGACCCTTCTCGTATGAGTCGTCATCTCGCGACACCTCTTCTATTCATCTCGATGGCACTCGAGCGTTTTTTTTCAATCTCCAAACCATTCCTTCCATTCACTATGAAGAGTACGATGAAATGAACTGTCACAGCAGAATAGCCACGCTAAGAAGGTTGTCTCGTCGTTTGTCCTCATCATCATTGCGATGAGTTCTGAATAAGAAGGAATAACATGAAAAAATTACACAAGAAAATTGTATATTTTCTTTGTTACAAATGGTTTTCGCTTCAAGAGCGAAATTCGATTGTCTGAGAGTGATTCCAATCTGGATCTCGATCTTTCTTTTAACACCTGGAGATCTCGAACGATGGAGAATTTCTACTTTAAGTACTACTTTAATCTTCACTTTTTTCTTTTTGTAATTCATTTCTCTTACTCGTAATCTCTTTGGAACCAATGGCTTAAATGGATTTATGGCTTAGGCAAAGTTACCAAGATCTCTCCAGAAGTCCCAAACTGGTGTAGGAATGGTGCCACAACTCTTTAAGGACTCCAAAAACTCTTCTCCCCATGATCGAATTGGTTTTTCGGAATTGTGCCATCCAAATCCTATTATGTGGAAAATTTCTGAAAGGTTTAACGATTCCTTATTTAGAATGCCCACTTATTTCGTATAGATTAGAAATAATTCCACCCTCAAGGTATTTTGCCGTCTTGGAATGCCGTCGTGTTGTTCTGATTGGCACGTGAACATTTTATATACCGACTAATTTTGTTTAATTCAGCAAACGTTACTGAGATACTACCTTCCATTTCATCCAAGCCAATGTCGTAACATCATCTATAAATTTACTAGAATGTGTAAAAATTCAAAATTCTAATTATATAAAACCCTCCTAACGGTTTATCGCCTCATCGTGGCTAGGAACTGTCCCTGGATGTCGGACTCCGATCTGTAGCGCGTGGATTCATTGCACCAGCAAGGTCTCCCAGGCTGAGAACGAATTCGGCCTTTCGACCAAGAAGCCTAGCTAAGAGTAAACCAATACCCTGGTCCACCACCATCCCGGCCTCAAACCAGTTGCATGGTGACAAATCTCCCTCTGATCCACAAGGGATGCGACTGCCTGTAGTAGTGACGACCTGGAGCAGACTTTGGCCAAAATGACCTCGGTACTCCAGGGAAACACAATGGGTAAACCAGCAAAACTCCGAAAAATGGAGAATATGCTGGGTTCCGCACAACCAGTGAGGATGGGCCGGCTAAGCATCCAAGTAAGTAAAAATATAAAATAAGAAAAATGTATCCGACTTAGATGTAAATATTAACTAAAGCGAAAAGTTATGACATAGAGATTATTTTCATTTTCAACACTATTTTGCTGAAATAATAAAAGAATTTAAGCAAATAAAAGCAACAATATAGATCCTACAACATTCTCCGATCGGTCTTCGCCTTTCTCGTCTTGATGAAGAGCTCGGTGCTGATCTTAGAGAACACGGTCTAAGCGGTGTCAATCTGATGACGTACACTATCGAAAAAAAACTCACTGCCCGGTAAGTCTACATCATAAATTGGTTAAAATGTTTCTTTTCTGGCTTGGAAGTGGTTGGAGTTCTATAACAGGTTGTATGAATTGACGCTATAAAGACTGCTGTGTTCGAAACTTTAGACGAAAAATTATGAGACGAGTTTTGTTGGAAGCATCTAGATTAATCCTTTGTGTTCATCGGTAGGCTTGAGCGTTTTAAACTAAATACCTTGGAAACCGTAATAATTAACTTCTATTGCTTTTACGCGCATAAACTTTTCTTTCAAAACCTTCTAGAGGGTGAGAATGTTCATTTCCAGAATGTCCATTTAGAAGAAAAACGCCATTTACCTAATTCTTTTTTGCTGTAGTATTTGAGCAGGACTGAATGAATGTTTATTAAATGCATAGTGACAAGGACGCGTGTGGCGCACTGGTTGGAGGCGCCACTGCGACACATACATGGAATCGATCCCCGCGCCCATGACCCACAAGCCTTCCATTCCTCCAGGATCGGCAAACTGGTACCAGACTTGTCTAAGAGGATACATAGACAGGCCACAGCGAGTGATTGTAAAGGCCAGATATGCATTCAATGACTTCCAACGATACTTAATGAAGTCAAATGTATCGCGCATCCCTCAGGAATTAATTTAACGGCTAAGCTTTATCTTTTTTTATAGTGGCAAGTAACGTAGGCTTTCAGAGAAGGAAAAAGTATCGGAGGGAAACTGATAGAAATTAAACTAACAGAAGATTGCCATTTGCAATGAAATTGCTAACATAGTGGGAGCTTTCCGCAACATAAAAAAAGAAAAGCACTGCATAAAAAAAGATGATGCGGTTTGAACATGAATGTGTTGCTCCATGCATTTGACTCGATTCATAGCATCGCAAAGGTGACTAGATTCATGATTGGCCTATAGAATGAATTTTGGTGGCGTACTGTTGTTTGTATCAAGGAGTGCTTTTATTCTTGCAGACAAGTCTGGTACAAATTTGTCGCCCTAGAGGGAACGAAGGCTTCGTTTTCTGGGAATGGAATAATGTGATCAGATTTTGTTTGGTATAGTGCTACTGGGATTTGGGGATAATATGAAGACGAAGACGCTGGTTTAATTACAAGCTTGAACTCAGAAGTAAAATAAAAACCCTCGTTAATCCCTCGTGTACTCAATCAATGTTCGACATAGTTGTCCCACCCTACTTAAGAGTGTTTCTGGAACATGTTTAAAAGTAATTTTTCGTTGTATTTGGAAATTTATTAGGAATCATGGGTTTCTGTTGACCGTAAAACATGTTTTTGAAACTTTTAGATTAATTGTTTACTCGAATCGTGTACTGCCTTATCGTGATAGCTGTTGGGTGTCTCTGGCTATAAAAGTGTTCGTGGTTAGTTTACACCCCCAGCAGAGTCCTTTCTGTTTTCTTAAGCGATCTCTCTCAATCAGAAATCTTAAGCTATGGAAGTCACGAGGCTATATAACGCATATCGAGATGGTGGATATTATCGGCGGATTAGGGGGTGGAATCCCTCCCTCCATAGCGCTGTATTGAATTATACCCTTTATAAACATATAATCACCTTTAGGAATATGTGCGTAGATGTAAAGATCTACACTGTCTACCAATTTGACGAAAAGAATGCAATCAAGTCACAAGAAATCATATAGAGGATGGTACGGTATCGTCTTCAAAAATCAGGCCATATATTCCGATTTTTGTGAGTCCGAAAGATCAGAAGATAAGGACATGTTTGGTAAAAGAAATAGGAAGAAATCAAAAAACCTCAGCTCCGCCTTAAACTCTCGCACTTTGGCTTGAAACTATGTGTAGTTTACGTCTAAAACAACACCGCATAAGGAGAAGACATCGTCCATTAAATAACGCGTATTGTTTTACCAATTGGAATTCTATTCTGATGGGAAGGACGTTGTCATGGAGACTATGAGTTATCCGACTTTCTCTACTCGCAGCACAAATCTTCTTCGTGAGGTAAAAGAGTGAGGAACTTCGAAACCTGAACCTCGTCTTCATCTTCGAGGAGTTAAAGATAGCTAAATCAAGAACAAAACGGAACGATGGGTAGGTGATTTCTACACAGCGCATGAACAAATAGGTTTCAAAATAAAACTAAAAACCAGACGATGTTCGTGGAAAACAGACTTGATTGCAATATCCCATTCGCGTTCGACAGCACGAAGACCTTCAACTACTCCAATCAGTATAAAGAATGACCCGGGACCTAACATAAGCATCAATATCATAGCAAAGAATAGTAACACCATTCTCCATACCTACCTTACACTGCGCTTTTTTAATGTCATGTATAGTACCACAATCCCTGGAGAAATGCCATCAACGGAACATGGACTCTACGAGGTGTCAAGAAAACAGCGGAAAACGGTCAATATGACTCCATCATAAACGAAAAGTCGGCGATCTTCATATCTCTCGAATGAGCAGAACTAATCAGGCAAATCCGACATGTAAGAATGGCAAACTCACTCTTCACACTATCCGTTGATCAACTGAACGGACAGCGGAGAGGTGACGCAGGTAATTGATGTCTACTTTTTGAAAAAAAACCGCAGTAAAGTCCAGCAGTGCATGACCAATATACCACCCTCCGTTTCTGAAGTTCTGTTTTGTTTACAGGGAACTGAGCTCTGTGATGATGATTATTGTTCGCTGGAGAACGAAGGCAAAAATAGGCGCACTCAGACGTCGTCGTGTAGCCAACATTGCAGCGACGGTAAATGCAGCGCCGAACGACGCAGGAATGACTCGACTGCAAAACAGACGCAAAAGCTCATCATCTAATCCATAAAGTTATTGTGAAAAGCTGTTCGTTACAATGTAATCCTTATCCAAAAGATAAGACCGCTTATGATTCATTTACCAGTTTTCATTTGTTGTAGGTTCCTATTACCACGAAAGTCAAGTCATTATTTTCTGATAATTTCACTTCAACCCGTCCATTATCACGAAGGCTAGTGCTATTTTCATAGTTGTATAGATGATCCCACTTATAGAAAAGTGTGGGTTACCCAGACCAAAATCTAAATCTTCACTCTTCTATTTACTGCCTTTTTCTTCTTAATGGCAGGGTATGTTGTGAAATATCTAAATCTTCCCCCAGTAAATGACTCACTTCACATGCAAACACTGCACCCAAATGAAGGTCCTTCCAACATCATTATACTCTAACGAGCAGGGTCAAATGCCTCGAAAGTGAAACACATCCCATTTAAAATCCTCACATAACATCAATAAGCCAGTAGCCTATAGTTATGTTGATTCAGTCGTTGAATTCAGACTCTTTCAGGGAATTATTCCAAAGATCGGCTTTCTATTAAGCCCAAAAATTATCAATAATTGACTGTTTTCCTGTTAAGTACACACGACATTGTTACCATACCCTTTATGCGCAAAAGCTAACGTTTCTGCGGATGAGTGTTTTAAGCAGCGACTCAGCCACGGAAAATTATAATGGTCCACGAAAGAGTTGGTTTCTTCATAACTCAATGTATGAGAACACATAAGAGACTGAAATCGTTCCCTTAGCTCCGTGGCCTTTATGTCTTATACGTGCCTATACACGGACTATTGGGCCTGTTTCCAACAGTTCTATGTGTGGTCGAGAACATTAAAACCGAAAATAATCGAAAGTGATCGGTGTTCTGATTCTTGTGGTTCAAATACGTCTACATTTTAAAATAATAGTATGAGCATGTAACAAAAACGTGTTCATACGCCATAATAGAGGTCATCCCTTTACATCCTGTCACACCTCTCACCTGCAGCCCCGTTGATCGTCGAGTGACTCGAGCGGGGCCAGTAAATCTTCCATTTTTCCCTGCCGCGTTTGACATCCCGAGGAATCCAATCCCTAACGGCTCTTGTTCACCGGTTGTCGTTCATATGCATTACGTCTCCAGCCCCCCCCCCCCCCCCCCCCCCCTCCCCCCTTCTTCGACTGTTTGGCTCTTTAAATATGAAGAAATATTTGTAGAAAAGCCATTCACTAACATTTTCACATATAAGCATGGAACAAATATTCTCAATTTTAGAAGTTGGTCTCTGACATGATTACTTCGCTAGGCAGTTTATAACATTACTAGAACATCAATTTGATGTTTAATTGTAAAAGAAACAACTGTTTCTTCTAATAGTAGCTATAGGTCAGTGTGATAATTCCAGGTTAGCAGGATTATAAAGAAATCTACCAAAGTATGAGCCAAAATCAGAAAGGTGCTAGGTAGCAATCCCGAAGTCCGGTTCATCAAAGCTACAACAATCTTACAAACAGTAGACAATTTCTTGAACCTGTATGTACGGATCTTTGAGACGACAAACATATTCTCAATACAAATTTACCTAAAACGACCTTTACTGGTACGCCTGTTAATCTTGCTGTATAGTAGGATAAACTCAGCGAGACAAGTTCCTTCTGGGAGTCCTGTACAAATACAGTGACAACCTCGCCATTGCCGATTTTCTGGATCTTCTTTCAACTTTTTTTTTTATCATCAAGGCTATTTTCTTTCCCAGAATAAAACATATCCCAGTGGATTTGCTTTCAAGACGTTCCTGGGATCACAACAATGGCAGTTGTCTCACTACTCTGTAAATCCAAAGCGCCTTTATTACCACTTTAAACCGTATTAGTACCATTTCTCATTCCTTTCTCGATACAATGGGGTTGGACATTTGATCGAAATAGAAATGTTCGCACATCATTGAGTGCCATCTTGTCAGATACAAAATCACAATACCAATAATAATCGAAATAAATACCGTAGTGTAGTGAAGTCAAACGAATGAGACATAAAAATGACAATAAAGTTGCTATACATTGAAAAAGATAAGAGGAAAAGACAACGAGAGAAAGAGATGGAGAAACAAAGAGAGAGGAATATACAGGACGATAGATATAGAGAAGAGGACAGGAAGCGTTAGAGATATCGACATCGTAAACTGGATAGATTTCAGTCGATCTACCTCTACAATAGTCGCTGTATGAAGTAGAAAAAAAGCTAGAGAAGAAAATAGAAAACGACAGAGTATATCTCATGGAGAGACATTGCTACATGCAAAGAAATAATGCCTAGCCTATCTATTCAGCTACAAAGCTATACGACCATTTCCACCCATATAGACATACATACACGCACCGATATACATACAGCCACACACACACGCACACACATACACACACACACACACACACACATACATACATACATACAAGAAGTCGAAATAGCAAAATAAAGGAAAACAGTAAAAATACAACAAAATAAAATTACTGCGCAGTGTCGCTCACGAGATGAATCCAGTGGTTTTAGACATGCTATCGAAGAAAAGAAAGAGGAAAAAAGACTGAAAGATAAAAATATAACTTATTAACGACACCAACGTACCTAAAAATAGAGGAGGATCGTTAACATTATTGCAACTCGCATCGTCTCATCGTTGAGAACCGAACTAGCACGATAAAAATCACATAAGATATATGGTGGTATGAAAGGTCAATGAAAGGAGTTCACAAAGTGTATAAATAGTAAGGAGAGAGAGAGCAAGAGAAAGAGAAAGAGAAAGAGAAACAGAGAGGAGATATATGTACGGAGACAAATACAACGTATTACTATTTACATGCGAATGCGAGCACTCCGTTTATGAAGAGAAAAAAAAGAGAAAAATCGAGAACTAAAACAAGAATACGTAGAGGGAAAGCACGTGTGTCGAGAATCAGAAATGGGGCAGCGATGGAGAGCTGATGGATGACGGCCTGTAGACCCTCTAAGGTAATAGAACTAGTAATAGTAATAAAAATAATCGTAATAATATTAAACAAAGATCACAAAAGCTACGGTTCAGATACTCATATAGTGCGCTGAAGCATGCCCGCGCTGCAAAACACTCTATTTGATAGAGAAGAAGTATAAACGAGTCAGACAGAGATGATCATCGTTCCAGACATGACAGAAAGCGGATAGATGTGTGCGTTGAGGCCGATTTGACTGATCTTCTCCTCACAGAACAGATCACATGGATGGTTTTGTTGGAAAACTCTAATCCATAGAGTAAATAGAAATATGTGAATACGTAGTAAATGCACACATAAACAAATACAGTAGTGCTATAGATTTCACGTCAACACATGCGCCAATTTTTGAGGCGTAAACGATGACGTGTTAGTGGAGCTGACAGTACGAAGAGCACTAGTTGAACCCGTCATCAATGGTGAAGCCAGACCTAGAACACGTACTCTTCCAAATATTATTCTATTGAGTCTCTCCTTAATTCGTATGAAGTACTGAGATATTTGCAAAACTCCGGACCACAGGTGTATGCAGTGGGGAACGAACACGCGCTGTTGTCTTTACCGGGGAGCAGCGCACTTCACCACTACACCATCCGGGTCTCTCCTTAATGTCCAAAAATAGAAAAACCTGCGCAGAACTTTAAACGAACTTGTTCAAATAGGTCTAAATAGGATGAAAAAAAAGATAAAGTTCTCGGTTTTGATCAATCCCTGAGAGATGCGCCATGCATTCTATTTCAACAAGCATCGTTAGATGTGGTTGAATGCAAAGTGGCCTTTACGATGATTCGCGGTGGCCCACCGATGTATCGAGCCAGTGCTACTATCCTCTTAGACAAGTTTGGTACCAATTTGCCGACTCCAGATGGATGGAAAGCTTGGTAGGCCTGAGCGCAGGGACCGATCTCATGTGCACTGCAGGACGCTTCCGACCACTGGCCCATAAGCGCCCGTTAAAAAGAATAGCAGAGTTTTAAACTTTTTATTTACTGCCTATTCTTTTTAACGGCAGGGTATTTTGCGAAAAATATCATCAATCCCGTTGACGGATGATTACTGATGGCAAAAGATCGATAGAGCTAGCTGAGAAACATGCGAAACGATGAACCCGCATGGTGTGGTGGTGAACGCGTTACTCCCAGGAAAGGACAATAGCGCATTCGTTCCCCACCACGGACACCTGCGGTCAGGAGTTTTGCAAATATCTCCGCATTATAGTAGAATAGCAGAGGGCAAAAATACAGATTTAAAAGCATGAAACACTGAACAGTTCAGACCTACACAGGTTTCGAAACTTCACAAAACTCTAAAAGAAGCAATTTAACATGTTAACAGTGGAATTTTGAAAACCATTCCTAAACAGGCGACAATTTCATGAACTCTGAATTTTGATTGTAAATCAGCTTTCATTTAACCTCAGTGTGAATAATCACTGCACTTCGTTCCACTGATAGGCCAACACCAGGTTGTTACGAAACACTTCTTCGGTTAACGTTTCGACTTCTTCGTCTTCTCCACAACCGATGATCCGAGTCAATGGGTCACAGATGGAAAGCGTTGAAACGTTAGGCGAATAAATGTTTGATAACAACCTCTGAACTACGAGTTCGAAAAACAGAATAACCGTACACACCTTCAGGTTCGGCTGGTGTTTGGTCACGTCGTGGCGGACACGGAAGACGTCGGCGCAACCACTGGTGTTTCAGCGCCTGTGCCGGTGTCATACGTGTCTCCGGATCCCAGTCAAGGCATCGCTTCATGAAATCGATAAACAGATCGTCACCCTGAATGCATATGTCAGTTATTCAACACAGCTATCGTGAATATCTGATGTAAAACCTTTAAAATTTAAGTAGTAGTTGTTTTACAACTCGAGTTTGGTTCTTCTTCTAGTCCCATACTAATATGAGGAACATAGACCAGCACATTCTATTACCTTCCAAATTTTTTCTGATCAAAGTCAATTAGAACCTTTTTACTAGCGTAATGATGCTGATAAATTTGCAAAACTCCGGACCGAAGATGTCTGCGGTGGGGATCGAACCCAGTATCACTCTTTCCTGAGGCTAACGCGTTCACCACCAAACCATGTGGATCCTTCGTTTCGTCTGTCTCTCAGCTTGGTCTTTTTTATTGTTGCACACTGCAGGTAATTTCTCTTTTTTTGCTGGCATAAGGTAAGCACAAAGAAATATTATGAAAGTAGTAAATTATACCCAACATATCCATACGTCATCAAATTACTCTTGCGTGGCTAGTAATAAGCATTAAACTGCGAAAAAAACGTATGTCAACGAAAACAGAATAAAACTGTCACCAACCATATTCTTAAGGGCCGTGTTCCAACTTCGGCTTCCTGGTGGTCCACGCATCTTTCCCCGTTTACTACGAGCTCCGCTCAGTACCACGGAACCATCAGGCATAACTGACGCTGTACAATAACGTGGATATCCCTATAAAAAAAAATTATTAGAAAAGAATAAAATTAGCGTAAAGTGAAAGAACAAGAGACTCTACTGTATCCATTGCTTAAACAAATCTAGGCGAAATACTACGAAGAAGAAGAAAAAGAAATAAAAAAGTTGAAGGGGAAAGAACAATATGACCCACTTTTGATGATATAAACGTCCTTGCTCTCTTGGCATTTTCCAAAACCTTATTAGGTGGCATTCCAAGGAGCTCTATTATTAAGGCAAGCTGAAGAGAAGAATATAAATGGACTCAAATACGATATGAATAGGAATCAAAACGAAAATATAAGCGATGGCTGACCTGGTCGCTCTCATCTTCTCCTGGGAGAAGTGGATAACCTGTCAAGAGTTCAGCTAAAATACAACCGAGAGACCACATATCAATCGGCATACTATATTTCGATCCAAGAATCACTATAAAACCAAACAAAAGCAATTATTTTACAAGTCATAAACGACAACTCGATACTCAAGTAAACTTACCCTCAGGAGCTCTGTAAAACCTGGATTGGATATATGTGTATATACGTTGATCATCAAAACATGAAGAACCAAAGTCTATGACCTAAACAAAGCTCTATATGAAGATTTTGAAAAATACCAAACCTGTGGCAAATCTTTATGGACATGTTCGAATCTAAATAAACATAGGGTTATCTATAGGTTAGTTTCCAAAGGTCCCCATACAACACTAAGTTTGCTTACCCGCCATGAATAACGTGTCACTGCAAAATGAAGGTGTCTGTGCACTCAATAAGATTAGTAAACCCAAAACACTTTAATTCAACTCCCGCAACTTTTGTCTCCTAATTCATGATCAACCATCGATTGCATTTAATTTCATATGCTGTACAAGTTTATCAAAAGGGCGCTTGCGGCACAGTAGTCGAAGGCGCCGTGCAAAACACATGGGATCGATCCCGTGACCATGGCTCACCAAGCCTTCCATTTCTCCGGGATCGACATATTGCTACCAGACTTGTCTGAGAGGATAGCAGCACTGGCTCGATACATCGGTATGCTGTCGCGAGTCATTTTAAAGGCCAGAAATGCATTCAATCACCTCCAACGATGCTTAGTGAAGTCGAATGCATGGCACATCCCTCAGGAATTGATCAACGCTGTGAGCTTCTAGCTTTTTATCCTTCCATACAAATCGAATAATACATAAGTGAAGAAGAAATCAAACCGAAAAGCATGGTACCTTTATACCGCTTCGACCTTGTTGCTTCAGAAGCACATTTTCTGGTTTTAAGTCGCAATGAATCAACCGATTCCGTTGTAACAAATCCAGACACAACAACATCGAATAGGCAAACTTGCGTACTAACTGAAAACAGAAACAAAAACAGCTATAGCTACTTAAAAAACCGAAAACATTTTTTAAAAGGTCTCACAGAACCGGCTTAATGAGCTTGCTGATTACGACCGCAAAAGCGAAAAGTATTAAAGAACCTGTCGAAAATACGAGAACTCCTTATATCTTAATTAATTATCAGCAACTACAACAAGCCTTGCAAAGGTTTGCCGCCTCATCACAGCCGGGAGGTGTTCCTGGGCGCTGCGATCTACAGAGTGGGGATTCATCGCCTCAGCAAGGCCTCCGAAGCTGAGAAGGAGTCCGGCTTTCCCATCAGGAAGCCCAGCCGAAAGTAAATCAATACCAACACCAGGATGCATCGCATCCAGCACTAAACTAGTCGCCTAGTGGCAAATCTCCCTGTTATCCACAAAAGCGGCGGCTGCCCTTGGTGGCGACGACCTGGGGTATACTTTTGCTAGGCTAATCTCGGGATTACAGGGAACCATAATGGCTAAACCAGTAAGAATCCGGAAAAGAAGAAGTTGTGCTGGGGTTCGCACAACTAGTGTGGAAGGGTCATTCAAGTATCCAAGTCTTCAAGTAACTATCACAAGGTCTAAAACTAATGTATAAGAAAGTCAACAACTAAGAAAACATCTCAATGAGGAAACAACACTTACCATGAGGCTGAAGCCTTGAAATTTGTTCTTCTTGATGAGTTCATAAAGATTGATGTTGAGCAGCTCAAAAGTAATGCATTTATGATTCCGGAAATTGAAATAGTCCAACATATGGATGATGTTATGCGAGCCATCCGTATCTTGTCGACGAAGATGATCCTAAAATAACGCTATCATCTAAGAAAAAAAACCTGAAAGAGATTGATCTGGAACTTTTCATGATATTATCATTAGGCGAAAAACAGAAGAAAATAGTTTACTACTTTGTAGCACTAAGAAAGCCTCCCACCGATTTACCGCCTCATTACGGCTGGGTGGTGTTCTTGGTTGCCGAGCTTCATCCACCCAGCGGGGTCTTCCAAACTGAGAAGGAGTCCGGGGTTTTCATCAAAAAGCCCAGCCAAGAGCAAATCAACATCAGGAACACCACCATCCCAGTATCAAACTAGCCGCATTGTGTCAAATCTCCTTCTGATCCAAAGGACTGCCTGTGGTGGTGACAACCTGAGGAGGACTTCGGCTAGGTTGAGGTCGGGACTCCAGGGAAACACAATGGCTAATCCAGCAAATCGCCGACGAAATGGAAATTATGCTGAGATCCGCGCAACAAGTGAAGACGGACCATTTGAGTATCAAAGTAAGCATGAAAGAAAACACTGACCAAAATTCTTATCTCTTCGTCAGCTTGTCGATGGAAGCGCTTTTCATTCCGGACTAATTTCAGTGCCACATATTGCTGATATTTATGATCGTACGCTTTTATTACCTTAAAACGGAGAGAATTTATAACTGCATCTGAAATTTAAAGAAAAATTTTCAAGGTCAGTATTTCTTATTACTAACACAGTTACTAAGGATTAAAGAAATAGGTCTAAGCCTAAGGATACTTCATTGGAAGGAGGATTCATATCGTTCAGAACACTGAAATTAAAAAGATAAAAGGACTAATTTGAATTTTTCACTCAATTAAGCAAGAGCTAGATAAGGTAACCTTGCGTCAACAGACAATCCTTAGTACTTATTACCGCAATACAAATTGAATCTAAAACTACGGAACAATAAGACCGTAAGTCAATATTTTAAAACTATCTAATAACAACTTTCTAAGCTTAAATACCATATAAATGCCAGCAAAACCTTTTTAATCTATTTAGTTTTTCAGGACTTCTAAATCTTCACATTCGCACTGCCATTCCTAAGAACTTATTCCTATCTTGTTCGCCATTACTTCAATCCCTAGTTAAATCCGAAGAATAAGAAGCTCATAGAGAACAGATTCATTCCTGATGTCAAATCTGTATGACGGATAGAATACCATCTAACGTTCCGGATACATGTGCCCAGGTTGAGAAATTTGTATAAACAACGACACCATTCCAGAGCTGAGTAAAATGAAATGGACGGATTGGGAGCAAACAAGAGAACAAGGGATTTGGTGAAGATAACAAAGAACACCGAACTCCGTGCCCATTCTATTGCAAAATTCTTCCTCTAGTTATCTCGACGTCTAAGCAACAAGAACGATCACTCATCGTAGCCGAGCAGCATCGGCAGAGTAATGATAATGGCTTTCTTAACTACTTAGAGGAAAAGAATCCAAATGCCTGCTCCACACACACGACCAAAAATATCGACACTAACTATGATATGGGCTAAGATGTTGAAAACCAGCTGGACAATAGCCGACATGGTACTACAGCACAACAAAAGAACAGCCGCGAGACCACTATAATTACCAATACGACAAAAATCCTTAACTAAAATCTTAAACAAAAATTTTAGCACTAATAGTTTCTAGAGCGATCAGAAATCACAAAACTAGTCTCATACACAGCTAGAACAATGGGAAAATACTGCCGCCTAGTCGAATTACTCGACAATCAACTGGGTGACGTGTGACAGGTGACCTGCTTTGTCCTACACCTCTTTCGCAGCTTGCAAAATTTTCCCTGCTTACTTACTTATTTGACTGTTTCGTATTCATAAGAGGACCCAAATTTTCCGTATAGTTCCACCAATTAGAATGACTACGCCAGTCTCTGCTAATTTCCAACTGTTTACTTATGCTGTTTAAGCATCAGCACCATCACGACAGCGGCTTCAGCATAAACAAGTGCATATGGTGGCGAGAATTATACGGAGATGTGCCCAAGGGTTATCGAATTTTTATCAAGCACACATCTCCACACCTCCAGAATTCCTTCAGAAAATGTCTTAAAGCAATCAAAAAACCAGGCCAAGAGATTCGGGAAGATCCTTCAAAAGGCTCCATGAGTGCAACTCCTTAAGGTTTATCCTACTTCCTTTCATGGAATATTACTTACGAAGGTTATAGTCCAAAGAAATCCAGCTATCGAAATTCTACAATAAAAGATAAAGTCATCTATTAGCAACAAACAAGCGGATATGTTGTTTTTAAATGTGGGTGAACAGTTGTCAAGCCGAACTCCATGTGAAAAAGCCACCTTTATTAAAACTAGCCCAGGGAGCCAAAGATTTCTACACTTTCATATGTGGACTAGAGGGATTTCACTTTCCACTCGACTGTAAATAGGCATAAGTTCTTCAGTGCTACAGAAGGAAAAAAACTCCAGTACATCAACAAGTAAATCGATAGGGTAAATAAAAGCTGCGACGACTGTATACAATGAAGGCAATTTTCAGTTCCCTCCAGATGTTTTTGTAGTGAATTATGATTCAGATTCCGCTGGCACTTTAAAAACAGCCATGATTTTTCAATTGTCCTGCAACCACGTTACTTTCCTTCCACCTAACTGGTCACTTTTTTCCAGATGACAACTGCCTAAGTAGTCAGCAAAAGAGGAAACTGCTGCAAGAGCTGCAGTGTTACATCGATTCGCAAACAGCACGACACTAGCCAATTTGCTTCCTTCTTTATGAGTTTTCTTTCGCATTTCAAGATTTAGGTTTCAGGAAAAAACGTATTACAGCATCAACAGATTCTACTATATCATCGATATGGCGCCGACTTCCAGGATGTGGTCAGCTGTGTTCTACTCTCGGAGAAAGTCGAAAGTGCTGGGTTTTCCTGCAATAGAAACTACAATCCCACAAACAAGCCACTACACTTCTATGACCATTATAGTCATGAACGGTGTTCATTGCCCCAGTTCTCGTCTCAGGATTGTTTCAAGCCCACTGAGAGTTAAAACCCGATGGTAGTGCATCGTCCCTTCAAAGCAGAAACACCCAGAAAGCAATCGATTCTCCATGGTCACACTCGAATAACATAATCAACGTTATCGCGTGTATGGCGCAGCCCGTCAACGATGGGAAGGAAACCAGTGAGTGGGAAACAGACGAATGGAACGGACGTATGGATGAGGAGGAAGACGGGCGCATCGAACCGGCTGACGTTCGGCCCATCCGGAGAGACGGTTGACTCTTCCAGAATGACGCTAACATTGTTCCCAACTTCACACCAAACACACACACACGCACACGCACAAACAATGGAAAAAATAGAGTAGAGATTCAAATGAACGCTTTGTGAACATAGGAAGATAATACCTACCTCGTCACATCACCCAAAAGAAAGTGTTCAAAAGATGGTAACGGAAAATAAACACTAATTAAAAACATTAATTTTCTCCAAAATATGTAAAGTTCAAAGTTAAGAAAACAATTAAATAAGAGAACTAACCTGGCCGAAAGAACCTTTTCCTATGACCTTGAGAATTTCGTATCGGTAGGCAATGTGATCGTGAGCGACCAATTGGTAGCTGCCATTCTCATCATCATACCCGCAATTATTTGGACCACCTTAAATCACTGACATAGAAATCCGACAGAGTCTCGGAGACGGAAAATCCATAAAATTGAGGAGAGCTATGACAAACGGTGGAACAAATTTGGAATGGGCTTAGCAAAGATTTGTTGAGATTAGGTATTTCATCACAGCAACAGATCAGATTATATCGCCTAACGTATTTGGTGTGCTAGGTGACCTAGTGGTATTTACTACTGCGTATAAGAAAGTACTTCATTAAAACGCTTATCACATTTAACTATTCTCAACATGCGATAGAAATTAAGCATTCTTTTCTACAACTCTGAACATCGTTTTTATTGGTTGTGACACTAATCAATTAAACATTAGACACTTGGATACTTGGAAGGCCCGTCGTCTTTGGTTTTGCGGGACCCATCATAATTTCCATTTTTTCGGGGTTTTGCTGGTCTAGCCACTGTGGTTCCTTCTAGTCCCGAGGTCAACCTGGCTAAAGTCTGCCTCCAGGTCGTCACCACCACAAACAGTTGGCACGCCTGTGGATCACAGGTAAATTTGCTACCATGGGACTAGTTTGGTACCAGGACGGTGGTGGAGGATCCTGGTATTGGTTCACTCTTAGTTGGGCTTCCTGATAGAAACGCCGGACTCCTTCTCATCTTAGAAAGCTCTGCTAGAGGTATGAATCTTCCGGCTGTACATCGTAGCCCGATACTCAGGAACACCTCTCAGCCATGATGAGGCGGTAAACCGGTGGAAGCCAATTAAACATTATGGGAACAGAAAAATGGTACAAAACGAAATATTGGAAAAGAAGGAAGAAGGGAAGATTTCGAAATTGGAAAAGGAATATTTGGCTCAATGAAGATGACAATTAACTTAAAAAACCTTCAACCTTGACAAAAATAAAAATATTGACACCTACCAATCAAACCTCCTCGTTTTTTGGCTTGTGAACCGACAAAGAAAACACGGACGTAGTTAAAAATTTCACTTTGTTCATATGGCAACAACTTAGATCCGAACGTTTGAATAGCGTCTTCAGGTCGAAATCCCTAGAAAAACAACACGTTTCTAGGTAGACGATACAAAAAAAGCCATAAAAACTTAGAAAGACGTTATGAAGAGATATCAGAGATGAGTTTTTTAAACACTAGAAACTAACTACAATGGGGCTGAGATATTTGGAAAACTCCGCACAGCAGGTCTTTGCGGTGAGGAACGAACGCGAACCCTTTCCAGGGGCTAACGCGTTCACCATCACACCACGCGCGTTCTTCGTCTCGTTAGAGACGGCTGAGAGAAAGACGAAACGAAGGACGCCCATGGTGTGGTGTTGAACGAGTTAGGCCCCGGAAAGGGTAATAGCGTGTTCGATCCCCACCGCAGACATCTGCGATTCGGAGTTTTGCAAATATCTCAGCCTTATTGTGATTATATTTCACATTATCCCCTGCTATAGGCAGTAAATAAAAAAGGGCACTAATAAAGAGTAATTTCGCTAACTACATAAAGAAAATCACTGCATAGAACTTCTAAGAATATCACTATTTTCGCTTCCTCGTAGTCTGTTGACTACAAAAAATCGAAAATCCTAGAGATCGGGAAACTCTGTGGAAATTCAAATTATAATTAAAACTCGTTACAGAGATCTCTCGTTGTTTTTTCGAGCTTCTCATCCCTACAATACTCCACTAAATGATGGCTCAATCTTCCTATTCTGCAACGAAAAAAATCACTCGATTCTGTCAAAAAAAAAAGTCTTTTAAAAACGGTATGCACTATTTCTAAAGAGTTAAATCTTTGGAATTTGGATTGGACACTTCACTCCTAATAAATCTCCGTACTTTTTGGAAAAGCTATTCTATGTGATTGTGTACCTATAAAAAAGAAAACATAGAAGGCAAACTGAGATAGAAGGGTTTATGCAGTAATTCTAATTTAGAACTTTAAAGAGTTTTCATCTGAGCCACTAAATACAATGAAATCATTTTCAACTTACTTTATTCCCACCACCAGAGGAATTGTTTCCTGTACTGTTCGAATTATGGCCACCATTACTACCACCCGATGAAGAAGTATGTGATCTGAAAACGGTGAAAATTGGCACTTCAGTAGCGAACCACTGTAGAACTGTGATCCTTTTCCAAATCCAAGGTGAAAAGCGGTAAACAAAGACACACGAGGGTTAACATTTTAGAGATAGCGCTGAATTGAACTTTTGTACTTGAACTCAAATGTATTTGCCAAAGAGTAACTTGGTGTTTCAAAAGCCTTTTAAGAAAGGACTTCAGCTGGTAGCAAACCCTCTTGAATGGAATGAAAAACCGTTGCACTCTACAGATAAGTCTTTAGCACAAATGAGTTCCTAGGAAATATAATCGCTTTTTTCTGGAAAACCGAAGCGAATGAAGAAGCAGAATTTTTCCAAGCACAACTTGACGATGTTTTCGAATGCACCGTTATTTGCTGAAGCGGCTCTAGGGGTAAGTACTCAAAAGATATGCAGACTTAAGAAAAACTGCTTTTTTTCGAAGATCTAGATTCTAAAGGCACTCCAAATAAACGTGGAATTTTAGGGCAACTATATATACCTCTAAGACGAAATTTTCCTGTAAACTTTTCAAGGGCCTAACACCTCAAGCGCCCCCTTCCCCCGCTCCCACCCCAGCATTCGAGGATCTCCAAGAAGTTGTCGAAAAGGGATTCGTCGAAACCCGGAGATCACTGTGACGGAGTTAGTTATTAAAAATAGAGAAAAACAAATAAGAGAACACTCTGCGGTGCCCTAACGTGCAGTGGTGATCGAGTTGAATAATAGATTTGTTTATTTATACAGGCTATCAAATTTGTTCAGACAGAGATTGGACAACGCATTCTGTTAGCAGAGCTGTACTGATCGCATGACAGCATTTGAAGGCGTTAGAAAAACCCTTTAAGGAGATTATTATAGATTCAGAATACAAATTCACTAAATAATCTAAATGTTAAGTTAGGGAGTGTGTACTTGCCACCGGATCTCAGCCAACTCAAACATCGAGAGTTCCAAAAGATCGCTTTGAGGAAATTATTAAGAAGTAATAGAATCGAAAGTGTTAAGATCTCATCAGTGAAACGAATCGAATTATAGATCCTCTACTTACCTGAGGGACTCGTCACTGGGACTTTTGGTCACCTTATGTCTTTGATCGGGCAGTGTGCTTAACGCTGAGACACTGGCTGATAGATGCTTAGCACCTATAGACGTTGCGCCTCCAGACGATGTCGACACAGAAGAACCTGGAAGGAAATCCTTGCATACCTTCACTTTCCTTTAGTTTTAAGAACAATTTGTTAACGAAGGACCAACAAGAAGAAGAATAAAGAAGAATTCACTTTGGATACCATGAGTACAACTGCCCTTTTAGAAAATAGCTGTAGATATTCCCATGCATTGAAATCTAAGACATATGATTGATTCAAACCGAAAACAAGAAATATTTCGAACTTCGCAATCTCTTCGGTATACTTAAATTCAAATAGTCATAGTCTACTGAGATTATGCTGAAATCCTACGACAGCGAAAATCCTTCTAGCAATGAATGAAGCTAATCTCCACCCTCAGGCAAATCTTGAAAGAATAAGAAGGGACAATCCACATACACGATTAGTTCTGGTCCCTTAGACCACACTGAATTGCTTTGCAGTAGAAACTCGGGATAACAGCGGATGTATAGCTGGGGGATGAGCAATCCATAATGCGCACCGGACTAAGCACATCGACCACGCATAGAACTGCCAATGTTGGGCCGAACACCTAAACGCAGAGAGCAAACACAGTTTCTATAGCGTGCATTAGATACACCTCATGAGATGATCCAAGGCTGTGGCTTACAACACCATGGATGGATGTCATTCAGTTGGTGGACGTTGCGCTTCTTAATCCTGAGATTGGGAAGCGCGTTATGAGGTGAGAGACATTGAGATTAGATAGACACCAAAAACCATAAGCTGTTCTCAAAAAAGATGACTCTCCACTTCTTGTCCCGCACCCATTTAAGCTTTTTTGTACACACAGGAGGCTTCTTAAAAGATCTGCGCACAAATGTGCTTGCATGCTATTCGGACTGTTTCCCACAAGCCTTCTCGATCAATAAAATCTAGGCAAACGACAGGGAAGCGTAGGAAAACGGTCCGCGACGCGTCCATCAAATGAGCCCCAAGATCCTGACTAATCTACTTGAAAGGTAGATCCTGCATCACAGCAGACCCAGGTGAGAATTCTCTTTTTCCGTTTTCCGTAAGAATTCTCTTACTAAAAATATAACAATACAGCGACTCATCAGAAAATCAGCAATGGGTTAGTTCTCAAAGAGATGTATATATGACCTTGAGAAGACTTGGTCGTTATGGCGCTAGTCATTCTCGCCAGTGAGTATTGACCTCAAAAGCACCGCTGATCGGTAATGCTCATTTAATAGAGGACGAGAACACATTCCGAAAAACATTTAGAAGCTAACCAAACCTCTGGTAAAAGACACTTCAATTTTTCCAAAGACATTAAGCGGTTAAATGCCATAAGAATATATTTATTCATCCATACTTTATTGCACATGACCCGTCTTTCAGATTTATTGTACACATTCTGGCACTTTTTACGCTCAGTTGGTTTCTTCGAACCCATCGTCCACGAAGGTCTTCCAATTTGTTGCGCATGGGTTCTGCTACTGCTTGACGATTTTTCTTCCGTCATCACTGTCGTTGAAATCTGGTCGAGACGATTTTTGCTCGAGTTTTGAGATCGCCGTGCTAGAACCATACTTGGAATGCAGACCGTGAACTTTCCCGGACAACTTTGGCTACAATTTGCCGACGACGAGGTGTGATAGGCTTGGTGGGCCCAGCGCAGACTCGAAGCATCATCATGCTCGTGATGATTGGTACGGCTACCACTGTGCTATCCACTCCTCTTACAAATAAATTTATGAGTGTCAGCAAATATTTTCGAATTATAGATGTCTGAAGAACTCATTCTTAAAGAAATCATAGGTATTTTATGACAGAACCTACGAGTTTGCTTGGTGCCTTTTACCTCTACTATTAAAGTAATAAAAACAAGTTCGAACCGTCCGAGCATCAAGGGATCTTAAACCATATGCTACGTTGATATTGCGAGTCGCTTCTGTGACTTTAAGTTCAAGTGTAAATTAAGAAAAAGTCTTATAAAACTCATATGTCTCTTATTTTAACCCAAACTCTGAACTAAACGAAGGGTGACAAAAACGTCAAACTCTTAGTATGCAAATATATTAATTAAAAATAGGATGTAAAGTATATAATGAAATACATATATGTATGCATAGATTTAAAGAACTCGCACTTTAAAATGTCATGAAACCAAGACACAAAAGCAAAAACTTGGTTTAAGAACGAAGCGCCAAAGTCCGGAAAAGGCAAGGCGTCCACTAATCCCGGCCAACAAGGGTATCCCTCTCCTCACTGAAGATCTCATTCCCTCGTTGTTTCTGGAGCGTATTATTTAAATTTATATATGACCGGGAAGGTGGCCCGGACACGTAATGCGTATGAATGACAACCGATGGACAAGAGCCATTAGTGACATTCCTCGGGATGTCAAACGCACTGCAGGAAGACCACCGACCCGATGGTCAGAGTTCTTCACAAAGAGCCTTGAAGAAAGATATGATGCTCGACGAGTTCCTAGAGCGAGCAGAACCCACTGGGCTACTCTTGCACGCGACAGGGAAAAATGGAAGATTTACTGACGCCCGCTCGAGTCACTCGACGATCAACGGGACTACAGATGATGCAGGTGACAGGTGATTATTTAAATTTAACCTCATTTCTCAAAATCGTATGTAATTCACCTCAAAGCGCTCTGGTAGAAATCGTAGAATTCCAATAAGATTTGTAGAATCCCAGTAAGATATTTCAATGGAGAACCATAGTACCAAGCACATATGTATGGTAATACTAAACCCAGGAAAAATCGATGTGCAAATATTTCCATAGCAAGAAATTTGTTGCTAAGAGTGGAAAGTGATAATTCATAGAGTTTGCTAAACATTAACTATAAAAAATGGTATTCTCTTAACATTAACTAAGTCCAAGTCTAACGTTTCCCATAAGAGACCACATAGAACATCATCCCCTCTTTTGAAAATCTTGAGAACTCCCATTGCCGGCGTGGAACAACGTCTTTTCAACTAGGTTAATTCCCACAAAATTTTATTTCCATACTTACCTCGAAGTTCAAACAGACTAGCGTACATTTCCGACTTTTCGACGCATTGCGACGTAATCTCTGAGCACCAAACGGTGACGACCAAATCGAGTTGCGGTAACAAACTCAGCGTTTAATAACAGATGAGAGCGTGCTGTTGAATGGATGTACGAATAGATACAATACGTTGCTGGGATCGATGTTTATGACAACGAGAATCTTCTGTTTGAAGTTCGACCGCACATCGAACGACAATGGGGTCTGGGCGATTTGGGCGGACAAATTAGGGCGGGTGTAGGCGCCGGTTAATAGTTGGCGCGCTGGCCGAGGGAGCTGAGCGCTGACTGGTCGGTCGGCCGGCCGGCCGGCAACCCCTGTCCCCCTCACGTTCGTCCCTCATATCCTCAGCAGCCAATACACCAGAAAAGCTAATCGAATTATTCAACGATAACGATAGATGGCGGTTGATGACTATGGAAGGCTTAGAAGACTTCCAGCATCAAGCATCGGATTTACGGTTATGTGATTACACGCAACAAGACTTCGTTAGGCGTGAACACGGACGTCACAAAAAAACCCCGAGAAAAAATTGAACGAGTAATGAGTTTAGACCTCGAAAATTCTCAGAAAATAAACCTCTCATTTGTTTGGGCCATCCAGCTTACACCAAGTAGTGTTATAAAACTTTTATTCGACTAACGTTTCGATGTCTCCGTCGTCCTTAAAGCCTTCGACTCGTATCATCGGTTCTGAGGAAGATGAAGACGTCGAGGCGTTAGCCGAATAAAAGTTTTATAATGAATGACCTCGTGTAATTGAACAATCTAAACAAATTTATTGATTATCCACGTACGTCGAGGTTAAGTGAAAGTGGGTTTAGTTAATTCCTATAAACTTCTCATTTC